TGTGTGTGTGTGTGTGTGTGTGTTGTGTGTGTCACGTTATAGAGGCTCAGCTGTCCTGAACTCGTATGTGTGTGTGTGTGTGTGTGTGTGTGTGTCACGTTATAGAGGCTCAGCTGTCCTGAACTCTAAGGCCTGCCCAGAAGATCCAGCACTCTGCTGCCTCACTTGATGGGAACCATGGGGGGGTCTCTCTCCAAGACTGCTCACTACCCTCTTACACAGACCCACCGGGGAAAAGTCATTTGGTGGGGATGGAAAAAACTAACTATGGCTAGGAGGGCCATAAATAATTCACAGCACTGTACTGTCTGACTCACGTGTTTCCCCCCCCCCCCCAAAAAAGGGCCACAGGCTCCTTCTCCTCATCCTCTCCATGAATCCTCTGTTCATGGAGTCAGTTCAAACCCTGGGTCTACTACTGAGTCTTGACCAAGTACATCAATGCTCCAGGCCTTGGCTTCCTACTCTGCAGAACTGAGAAGACAGTATTTGTGAGGGTCAAAGGTCAGGGTAGCCTGCTCGCCCACTGCCATTATTCCATCCTCTACCACAGCACCAGGTAGAGAGCAGGGCACTCTTGCTTCCCCTGCAAGGCGACTTGTCCTCCCAGGTCTCCAGTGCCTCACACATCACGGCTTTCCCTGGTTTCGCAACTCCATGCCCTAGCCTCTGCCCTTCCTGCCAGCACCATGCCCTCCCGCTTCCCTCATCTCATCCCAGCCAACTCTTCCTAATCTTTCCAAGTTCGAAGACGAATGCCACAGACTCTGGGCAGCTTTCCAAGATCTTCTCTCCCTGATGGTTTGTATGTTTCCTCCATAGCACGTCTTCCTGTAGAGGTGGCTCTTTCCCCCGACTGAACCGCAAGCCCCATGATGGAAGAATCTACATATCCCCAAAGTACCTAATACAGGGCCTTGACATTTGTAAGTGTCGAAACACAAGGTTGGGATGAATGTGCACTTGGCTGCTGGTTAGTGTTTTTGCGTGGAAAGCAAGGATGAATCAAGACCTAGGGTTCTCTTTGGTTTCACCTCTGTGAGCAGGACTCGCCATAACCAGGGACTGGTTGGCCTCAGGGTCTGGTTGGCCCAGGAAGGGCACCCTGCCCTCCTACCACACGCCTTAGTGCTCAAGGACTGAGCCCCACATTTCCACTCCTATCCCGGCCATCCAGAGGAAATGGTGTGGGACACCCAGCCTTGCTTGCTATTTATTCATTCATTCATTCACTTAATAACTACTCAAGCCCTGGCATCCCAAGCCTCCTGATCTGCATCAGGCAGCTAGCAGGGCCAGGTCCCCCTCGGTATAGCTCTTGCTGGGCCTTAGGCCTCTAAGATAAAACAGGTTGTTTTGTTTTTTTTCTTATTTCTGACAGAATTCAGATTTGGGGAGATGCTTATCCTAAGTGTGGGATCCTAGGAAGGGCAGGGAGGGAGCAGGCAGAGTCACCCTCTCCACCCAACTGCTGTCTACCAACACCCCGCACCACATTTCTTTCCTAAACAGCCACACTGGACTGAGTAGAGGCACCATGACCAAAGAAGTTACCTCTCTGGCTCTGCTAGCATTATTGTGTTATTACCTTAAATGGACAAAACTCCAGCATGGAGTTCGCACAAGAATGCACGCCCCACCTCCTTGCTCCAGAGAGGAGTGCACTGACCCACAGCTTCACCCTTGGCGAATAACAAGAATCCATCACTCACGCGGGGCCAGTGCTTTTTGGGTTCACAAAGTCCTTCCATGTCTACCATCCCCTTGGGGGCCTCTGACCCACCCTGAAAGGGCTGGGGGATTGGTATCAAGTTTCCCTTTCTACAGAGCAAAAAATCAATATTCCAAGAGGTTATATCATTGCTGCAGGTCAGATGACGAGGAGGTGGCAAAGCCGAGGAAGAAATACACACTGGCCATCTCCTCCCAAAGAGTTTCTGCAACTCTGGATTGTTCCCTGGAGAGGTGCTCCATCTTTCCCCGAGACGTGGAAACTCTCGCGGTAGGGCAGGACTTGGGGACAGTGGCTACTTCTGAACAGGAGTCCCCAAGGCCATTTAGCGACTAACAACCTCTCACCTTGATCTTTGGCTCCTGGTTCCTAATTGCCAAGGGTGCGTATCTCCAAAGAAGCATGTCAAGGGCTGACTTTTTCTAACCAACGAGACGAGAAATCCAACACGGCCTGTATTGATGCATGCATGCTGCCCGCTGAGGCAGGGAGGTACAGGTGGGCACAGAGAGGCCGTGGAAAGAATGGCTGGCTGTGAGGCATTAGCCCGGGCGACCTGGTGTCAGTGGACACTGTGGGAACTAAAACGCTCATGTGGGGCTCACACTACTTTTCTATGCCCCATTCTTGGGCTTGCAAGGAGAACCTTGCCCTTCTTTCTAAGCAAGAACAAAACATTTCACACAGCCTCGTTTTCATGGAGAGAAACCAAATAGAGACCATTAAGGAACACGATGGGTGCAAGCACTTCCCCAAACGAGTGGAGCTAAGAACAGAAGCGTGAGGCCTTATCCACTGGATCGGGCTCAGGGTGAGCCCATTCAGCCAGCATTTTATTCAAGATCAGCTTGAACCCATCAAGCTGGGCCTCTCAGAATTCCCCAGTCCACCTCTGCTCAGTTCTCCCACTCCCACAGGGCCTCATAGCCTTCCTTTAAATGAAGGCCCTCCAGAAGCTGAATAAAATGCTCTAAGAGACTGTATCAGAGTTGTCGTTTAGCCATGGGGGCAGGAGGAAATCCAGGGACATTGGCCAGAACAGTCTTAGGAGTAGGTTGTGGCTGTTGTTTTCTGCCTTAACAAATGCTTCCATGAGGGGTCCTTCTTTCATGGCAATCAAAGAAAGCACGGCGAGCCCCGCTGGTGTGGTGTAGCCACACAGCCCACACAGCTGGCTCTGAGACATGCTCTCCAGAAACAGGCAGCATGTCCCGGCCAACGACAGCCCATCCACTCCACAGAGCCGGTGCCTGTCTAGACGATCGCCGTTATCACAGCTCGCTATCACAACGTGCGCGTGTTCCTTTCTCTTCCCTGTTCTTCTTCTTTCCTTGGCACTGTTCGTCCTCCCGCTCTCCACCCACCCCAACATGAAAACACTGTGTTCCTGATCGGATGGAGCCAGCGCAAATGTATGGAGCAGAAGGCAAGCAGCCCTGAGGGAGGAGAACCCCAATCCTGCCTTAAATCTTCCCTGCTCGTCTTCGCAGGCAGTGGCCCCTGTTCCCTCAGCAGCAGTGGCTGGCTCCCTCAGACAGGTAGAGCCGCTATCCAGTGAGGGAAGGGCCTCACAGGAGGTCCTCGGTTGCTGGTGTCTTTGAACTGAAGTGAACGCCATCCGTCAGCACGGCGCTCTCCCCCCACCCCATCCCAGGAAGTGAGCTCCACCAAGCTGCCATTTTGCCCTGCAAGCTGTGCTTCGGTTGCAACATGAACAAACCCCTCCAGCAGACACCATCCCCAACCACCTCCTACTCCACTTCTGTCCCCTTGGCGGTTGGCCCCCAAGTGGTAAGTGAAGCCTGGGGCAACAGAGTCTTGGCAACACCATCCGTGGGGTGAGATGGACGCCCGCCAGCCTCTCCTTTGAGAGCCTGGTGTCCCCAGGTGAACAGGTTCCCTGGGTCCACACCTGAGGATGGCACCTAATACCCAAAGTATCACCTAGAAACTGAAATTCTAGTCCACCTCTCCCCAGAAGCCTTTTCCAGCTAACCTCGCTCATGCTCTATCTCAGAGGTTCTCAAACTTTAATGGACAGCAGAACCCCCTTCGAGAGCAGGCTATCCCTGCAGATAGCAAGGCCTTGCTCCCAGAGGCCTGCATTTTTAACAAGCTCCCCAGATGACGCTGAGACGGTGATCTAGCTGCCTCTTCTCCTGCGCTCCTCTCTTACACTTGGCACCAACTTCACTTCATGACTTTGTCGACCTCATCTCCCACATACCTGAAGCAGGGAGAAGGGGTTTCAATTTCCCACTAAACAGGAGCTACTGGAGGTGTGCAGAGCTCCCCCCTCCTCTCCAGGCTCAGTAGCAGGCCCCGCATGCCAGGAGTCCTACAGGAAGGGGTTGATAAGCTGCCAGCCAGGAAGCTGAGACCTCAGCCTCATCTCTCCACAGGCCCCTGAGAGTGTTCATCCTGCTGCGATTCCACCTCACATCTAAACAATGGCTTTAAATGTCACCTCAAATATCAGGCCAGGCAACCGGAGGGAAATTAGCCTTTCTTGCCCTGGCTTTTGTGTCTCTTTCATCCTTGCTCACCTCTGACCTCTGCTGAGATCTTTAACTCCCCCTCAGCTGAGGGAGCCCCGGGCTCTAGGGGCCCTCACACCACGGGACTGGGCACCACAGCGAATGAATTGTAAACCGGAGGGAAGGAGGGAAATGCTGCTCCCCACTCTGTCCCTCCCTGACTGCTCACCTGGGGATTTACAGTTGCCCTACCAGTCATGAGGACCACCATGTTGACTCCATGCCCCCCAAACTTGGTCCCCACATCTCACTTTT